CTCTGCCGTTTCCTCCCTGCTAGGAAGTCTGCAAGATGCTCATACACATGCGTCACCCGGAGGTGTACCAGCACCTGGGCGTCACACCCCCTCGTGGAGTTCTCCTTCACGGACCGCCAGGCTGCGGGAAGACGTTACTTGCACATGCAATTGCTGGGGTGAGGTTTGCTGACACTTGGTGGCTTTTGTTATTTTTGTTGTTGTTTGTTTTTACTCTTTCGTTAACTTGAATCAGACTTGGCATGTTCTTAAGAGGACTGATTGCTCATTTTTTTATCTCTTTCATGCTGCTGTTTGTGAGATGCTATTTTTTTAAAAAAGTCTTTATTGTTGAAAGTATTATGTCTCCTTCCCCCTCCCCCATTAACCCCTTTGAGGCCCTCCCCCTCATACCTGCCCCACCCTCCCCCCATACTATTATTTATATCTGGCTGTTTATATGGCAAGGATTAGGTGGGAAACAAAATTATATAGCTGTGAACAACACCCCCTCTTTTTTAAAACACATTTATATTTTACATTTTAGCTACTTCTCTTTCTCTTTAAGCCAGTGGTTCTAAAGAGCAGTGAAATAAGAAAACTAAGGATGTGTTGTTTTTTATAGAACTAAATTTATTCAGAGTAACGGTCTTATACTATTTTTTCTAAAATAGATACTTGGCAAAATGAAAAGTTAGCAATCTTATTTTAGTCCCATCAAATTTTTCAGAAACTGTAGTAGATGGTAAAATACAAAATGAGACCTTCAATTTTAAGCACAGGGTGCTATACTGATCACTAATAGATTAGTGCTCTATGAGACTTTATATAGGAGAATTTGATGGATTTGCTTCATTTATTCATTTGTTGGATAAATCAATTATGTGACTGCTATGTGCCAGACATTTGAAATATAGTGATAAGTACAACAAACCCAGCTTTTATCTTTAAGGAATTTTTCAGTCTAATATGGGAGACAGACATTACGCAGTCATTCATGCAAGTAAATGTCTCCATAGTTACAATGGTAATAAATGAGAGACACAAAAAGTGCAGAATGCCGTATGATTGTTGAAACCCAAGTTAAGAGTTTGGAGCAAAGAAAATGTGATTGCGGAATGGAATTTCACGGTGAATTTAGGCAGGCTTGTCACCATCTGTCGGGTGGGAAGTGGTAGTGTCCCTTCCTCTGCTTAAAGAGCCTGCCCTCTCTGACTAGTAAATGGCTACTCGTCTGGACTCAGGAGAGAGCAATGCTAGTAGAGTGTGAGGGACAACTGTGTCACCTTCCATGCTATTTCCTCTTCAAAAGATAAATTTGTTTTGGTTCAGTTCTAAGTGGGGGAAAATATCTCTCTTGATATTCCAGACCCTTTATTCAGAGGAGATGATAATAGAGTTTTATAGTGACGTCTGTAAAGTAAAAACAAGTTATCTTATCATTATGTTTGAATAAAATCATAGATTTTAAAGTTTTCTATTGGCCAACACAAAAAGAT